TACCGTGCACCGTCGCAAACTCGAACCATTATTTTTTCAATTTTTTGCATGCTCGCGCTTTGTCATCCGCCATTTTCAATAAATTTATTTTGCAACATTGAAAATAAAATTGATTCTTAAAAGTAGAGATTTTTAGCTTCATTTCCATATTTTATAGAACTTTCTATCTTTATTAATTTACGAAGTTATCGTCAGTTGAAATTTGATGAATTTTTCCCACATTTTCAGTGTACCGCTTTTTTTTCGGGTGAGTGTATATATATATAAATCATTGTTGAGAAAAATGTAATTATAATTGGTGTTAAATAGAATAATTTAAATAACATATAAAACATTAAAATTATAATGTATCAATGAATAGATTTATTAGGATTTCTTAGAATGAATGAAATAAGTAGAAAGCATAAATAAGTTTTCTTGTCTTTAATTTATAACTTATATTATTAATTTCTGACTTGAGCTTATATTGACGCAAAATTGAAAATCTAAAAAGCGTTCAATTTTAAATGCTTGTAAATATTATATGAAGCATAGTAAATTAAAAAAATAACTCTGTATATAGTTAAAATATAAATAATAAAATAATATATATATTGATTATTTATATATTATAAATACACGTAATAAAATTGAATTTACTTAGCAATTTATTTCCAGATTTTACAGTAATTTCTAGAATTAAGAACTTAGAATTAAGAATTAAAAACAAATGATAAGCAAATCGACTGTCGTACCAAATTTACAAATCACAAGCACATATTGAATTTATATAAATTCAACATGATATCAGAAATTCAGAATCCCTTAACAACGATGATACTCTTTCGGTCTGACCTGGGCGCAATAAAATGTCGTGACCTGTATTCATTTTGATATATCTCAGCTAAACTCGGCAGGATTAATACGGTACATGCATTTTAATATTAGCTCGATAGTCGATCCTTCGGATAGGGAAACACGATTTTACTCCTTGGGTCATCGGGAATAGGGAAACTAAAAATAAAATTCGATAAACGGTTTCGTATTACGCGGTTCTCGTGATATTAAACTTGCTTATCTACATTTATAATGAATTATCTCGGCTATAGTCGGACGCGTATAAGATTTGCCTCCGCTCTTCAAGATATATGTGTGTTGTATATAGTAGAAGATTCAAGTATATAAAGATAAGAATTGGAAGAAATCGGAAAAATATAAAAATTGTCGAAATTGGTATGGCGGCACGGAACTCAATATTCCTGAAATTTATAGACAGCATATTTTTGTGGCGACTGTTATATTAAAAACTTGTTGTTTTAACAAGTAGAAGTGAGAAAAAATTTCTCTCTTTCGTTGAGGTAAACGATTCGCGAAATACGTATTCTATATAGGTGCGCATACGTCGTGAATTATATTATACCTTTTGCGAGACCGAAGAAAAGGCTGGTTTAAGGGCCATAAAACATTTGTTTCCACCGCCGCCGCTTGCCAAAGTGGTATATTGCATTCGCCCGCAGACGCGGGATTTTGAATTGAATTTGAAATCAGGGGGCCCGATTTTATGGCAGCCGAGTGTCAAATGTCCAAATGTCGCGCCCGACTTATCGTTGAGAAACTCCGAAATCCCGAGACGAAAGTTCCGAAAGGGCGTTATCGGTTTACTCCTCCGTTCTTAGGTCGCGATACAGGATGCGGAAGATCGTTTAATTCCATTTTCGATTTGGTCTCTACGTGGAAAAGCACGGAAAAAGCGCGGAACGGCGCAAAAGCTACTGTTTCGCTTTATTGGCTCCACTCCTCCTTCACGATCACTTGAAGCGATCGAATTATATTTATAACTCAGAAGTTCGGAGCTATCTTCCCCCAACTTGTTGCAGACGTTTTCTACGACATCGTCCTTCTTGTTATTAACAATATTTATTTATTATACTTTTTCGTATTTTGAAATTTTTATTTATTTTCTATCATTTATTTTATTTTAATAAAACAGGATTAAATCATTTTGTATTCACTCTTCATATACATATAATGCATTTAAAAACTTTCAACTCTTAAATCTTTTTCAAAAAACATAGTGCAAATTTTGTATAGTGATTAATTCATTAGTACAATAAATGTGAAAAGTAACAGCAGTCTCAAGATCCACTTTACAGCGATGTGTGTTTTCGCTATAACCAGAGTCTATACGTTCCACTAATATCAAACCGCAGCATCGATAATACAATTATGTACATCAATGTTGGCGATAATTCGCGTTGATATCAATTTCCATATGTAGCATTAATAATATGTTAAAACGTTACAAAATCTATGCAAAATGTACGTAACAAACTTTCTAAATGACATCATGTTGTTTCATAGGTTTTGGATAAGAACGATATTGGTTGTCAATATCTGGACAAACAACATCGGTTGCGATAAAATACCAAAGTAACAAATGTTTCTCTTGGCATTCTACGCGATAGCATGCGTCATGTATTACACGTTGACAGCAAATGCCGCTGACGAATAAATGTTGCGATGTTGCATTGTTGGCGCGGATTAACGTCTTGAACTTTATCGCGTGTAAACAGCTGCGTTACGGCTATATTTAGCGACATTAAATGGATTAATGTTATCATATTTCGTTGCCATTTGATAAAAGCGTGTGTTCCATTGTTTGAATTGGCAAAAATTCAATCTAATCGTGTTCGATTGCTATGCACAATTTCTATGATTAAATTCTTTGCGACTAATGACTTTGAATAATTTTCAAATGTGGCAACTTCCTTAAAATAACATTATAGCAATACTTTATATTGCTGTGCAAATAATTAATTAAACCTGATTTTGTATCATGACAAATATTTTATATTTCTATTTCTTCGTATATTTTTTTCATCATTACGCAATCACTATCAATAGTGACTGATTTTAACCGCCTAATATATCCAACATTAGGTAAAATCAATATAAAATTTTAGCAAATTCAGAACGGACTTGGGAAATATATATATTTTAATAATAATTAGCACGTACGGTTTCGCGTGATGTCTTGTTGATCTTAGATTAGAAGGATTCGTCCAAGTACCGCTGGCTTCGTGTTCGAAGCGATAAAAAATAAATATGGCATGCGATAATAAATCGAGGCTGTTCTCCGAGATTAATTCCTTACCTGATCGTTGTCTTGTTGATCTTGGCCGTAAGTGGGAGTATCACCATTAGGGGTGGTGGCGGCGGAGGGTCGCTGTGACGTTGACAAGTTGATCGCGCCGTCTCCGTCTGTGTCATGATCCATTATGCCATCGTCCTGAAATCACGATCATCGTTACGTCAGTGCTCTTCTCGTGCATCGTACTCGATTATAAATGGCGCGCGCTTTTGAAATACGTTTTGGTAATTGCATTATTCTATTATCAATATTCAAATGCTATTTTTACATTACATATTTCTTAATATAAAAATTATATAATCTATGTTAATATATTACCATCAAATAAAAATTTCAACATTTTCTCGCACCTATATTTACATTATCGTTCCTCTTGAAATGTTTATTCAAATAAATATTAAAAAATTTTACGCTTATATAGAATAAAATTTATATTATAATATTAATTGCAATAATAATACATTTTTTAAAATAAAAACGATAGTTTATCAAAAAATTATTTCTAAATTGTACATATGTAAAGTCAATATAATGAAATGAAATGAATAGAATATTGGAGAAATATTTAGAGAGCTATAACACACGAGCAATTAAATGTGGAAAACACATGAGAATGCCCATCGTGATCACGAAGCGCAATAATCGTGACGAGATCTCGAAACATGCGCTTTTATCCGACATTGCCCTCGCGAGAGCCACGATTTTAGATCGAAGTCTGACGCACGTGATTCCACCCACTCGACGCAAGAGAAACAATGTTTCGCGGTTGCGGAAAGCTAATAATATATACTTTCCCGGAAATGCGTAAGATCATGTAAATTCTTGCTAAGGTTCTGTTTTCCATCATAAGCAGTGTATAATACACAACATTTTCGAGATTATCGTAAATATTTCGGAGCGTCACGTGATAGGTTAGCCACGTATATAAATAATTCATAATAGATTCCGTTGTAGTACCGTGCGCGTAATTTACAAAGCACATACGTGCATCGCTGAAATAAAAATCATGTAATAAGGCGTTTTGATGAGGAAAATTTATTGCGGATTTAAATATAAATTATACGTTTGCACTAAAGCATAAAAAATAAATGAGAATGTAAGTGTTTTACACATTGTTGCACCACGTTCGCATACGTGCAAATAAAATCCCAAAAAGTTAATATAATTATTAACATATTAATTATCCATGTGCGAAAAATTAATCACGCAATATCCCTGGGTGCAACTTGCCGCCAGGCTAAATCGGAAAACATCAATTTCTCCAGAAAGGAATAATTACGCGCGACATGCAACCCGTTAATTAAACATCAGCGGTTATTTCGAATTCTGTAGTTAGAGGAGGTGCGTTCGATGAACCTTGGTAAAAAATACGTAATCAAGCGTTGCATAATTAATATCCATTCATCGATTATTCACGACAACATTCACGGCTAATATTACGTCGCGCTTAAGACGATCGCTTAATTAATTCTTAATTAATATATGAGCCGCAAAGATTCAATCAAAGTTTCTTACATCTGCTTCGGTCCATTGGCAGGCGCGTCGCAGTTCATGGAAATTGACGTTACGCTTTCCGACGAAAAAAAAACCCGCCGTTTTCGGCGTCACGAGACACTGCTCCGAAGTTTCACGCGGCGAGCGGCGTTTCCGGTCTTCGAAAACGTAATGACGCGACGCGCACTCGTAAACACCCACACCTACGCCATTGTAAACATTCAATGTGCATCATACGGAAATCCTGCGCAACAGTGGCGGAAATCGTTTTCCCGATTGTCTCACAAAAGCACCGGTTACACACGTTCTCCGCACTGCATCCAGAAATCAAGCGGCACTTTCAACCTCCTCCGCGGAACCCGGAATCACTCGCGGCGACGGAAGGGGAACGGGGTTGAAAGAGGTAAGTTGAAAATGCACCCTTCACGCAAACGGAGCGCAACGACGAAGCGACGGTGAAGCCGAAAAATAAAAATAAGAGAGAGAGAGAGAGAAAGAGAGAGGGAGAGAAGTGGGAGAAAGAGCGTCGGATTCGCGAAGGAGACGAATGCCAGCGTTAACGCGCCGACCGAGTAGAGCGAGGACTAAACACTAAAAGCGGCACAGGCATACCAAGCAGCCCGACCGCGGCGGGGCTGTTGCTTATTGTGTAAATATAAACAAATATAGTTGAAACCAACCAACAGGCCTGCTTTCAGTTCTCCCCCACCTTCCTTCCCCCCTTCGCTGCCATAGTCCTCCGCTCAATGTGTGTACCCTACCTTCTTCTCCTCCGCGTTTTCCCCCCGTTCCCCACCCCGTACTTCCGCGCCCCCTCTACGCCGGCACGTCCAAAGACTTCTTCCCCTCGTCCCGCTTAGGCACCCACCCTTCACCACGTCCCTGACCCCACTGCCTCCAGGCAAACCACTACATCATACGCGGCACATCGTGGTTTAGTCGCCTTGCCATATGTTCGTCTCTCCTTCTCTGTCTCACCCTCCGACCATATCTCCTTCTCTTTCCGTCGCTCTCTCTTTCTCTCTCTCTATTGCCCGCGCATCACACATCGCCAACTCGTCACACACTGTCGCCGAAGTCGGTGGGTTGCGTACCGACAGGACTTGGAAAGATCTTTGGAGTTCCTTTTTTTTTCTTTTCTTTTTCTGTGCAGAACGCCTCCGCGAAATAGAGGAAGGAAACGGCCAGAGTGCGTCTTTTTCGGAAACTTTTGGCGTGCGTGTTGTGAGAGCAGCCATGAATATTAGGAGTCAGTTTACGTGCCAAAGTTTACTGTTAATTAATTACAAGTCATTTATACGAAGAGGAACGTAAAACTTTTTTTATCGAAATTTTCGGAATTTTAATTAAATCGCGTATTACGCTTGTCGCATCTTGCGTTATCATCAAAATTTCGGAGGAAACTTTATTTGTACAGTTGGGATCGTTCTTTTTTGTCAGAAAATTTCAAGAAACCAGACAAAATGCGCATTCGAGTTACTTTTGGTGGACATATGGCGGGTGTTTATTATTTATTTGGAGACTCTTGAAAGTGTGTGATATATATATATATATATATAAAGGATTATATTTTAAGTAGAAGCTTCCTTGCTTTGTGCGTTGTCTCTCCCCTAGGTATATAGAATTTCTACACACTTGATAAAAATATCGATTCATTATATCTATCAAGATGCTTGTACTTTGGCTGCGATCTCGCCAAATGTTTATAATCTGTGTCTTAAAATAGAATGAATAATCATATAAACCTACTTTATTAATAATTTCTTGTTGAACAAATACTGAAATTCTCTTTTTAAAATTACATATCATTAATTATTACGTAAACATAATTAAGATTTCTTTTTCATACGGTACATTTATCTATATTTTTAAAATGCAATCTGAGTCGTAAACTCTGCACTACGCTTCGCATAAAGACAACTTTTAACGATATAATCTCCAACACACAGTTACGATGCATTGCGCATCATTGAAGAATAAGCTCTTAATGTATTCCGCGATAAGCACTTGACGACTTCACTCCGCATTTCGCGAAAAGAAACCAAGTGGACGGTACAGGTATGGAAATTCTATTCTTTGGTTAGCTAAGTATATATACGCGCAAGAGAGGCGGTACACACGAGCGATAAATACGCGTGTACACACATGTTGCCTGACGCAACCTCTCCGAACCACCGGCTCGAGTTTGTACAGGCGAGCCGGAAATAGGGGACAAAATGTTCCTTGAAAACGACGTGTCCTTAAATATTCCTTTCATTCGTGCCACGGCTCCTCAACAATCACACGATGTAGAACGATACCGTACTCCCCTGCTGTGAGACTTTAAAGACAAAACACGTGTTGTTGGATTTCAAATTATTGCACCCTGCGCACCCGTTTCGAACGATCTTATTATTACACGCTGATAATGCGTGGAGGAAATGGACTTTTAAACTGTGATGATTTAGATTTATTTGATCTAACCTTTATTGCAAGAGAGTTAATGACGTGTGTAAAAATGTTTATCCAAAGTTTCGGCTACAGACAGAAGATTGATATGACTAAAATCATGATGTTTTATTAATAACAGAATTAACAAATATATAATAATGAGAGCAATGAAATTTATTCCTCCAATAAATATCGAAAATTTAATATGATATTTCTATGTTTCATATTGAATTGTTTTTGTTTCGCGATAATTGCGCATGGTAATTGATAGAACATTGGTTAAATTGTAAGAAAAAGATGACTTATTATTTTTGAAAGAAGAAGACATTTTACGTTTTTAGTAACTACGTTTATATTATCAAATATAAATAATATATTTATATGTGTTAATATATCGAAAATATAACACAATGTACACAAATTTGCACAGACTTAAAATGCACGCATAAATGATGTACAGACTGAAAATTTATTTCACTATAATCTCATACAATTCGAAATCGCTTAAACTTTAAAAACTAAATTGAACATCCTAAGATGCTTTTCATCAAAGTCATCAATATTTCGTTGAAAAATTTAGTAGAAACCTATTTCACGAAGCGCTTGAATAAATAACATAAAGCTAAAGCCGAAGTCGAGGACGACTAACCTGCATAAATTCCCGCGAAAATCCGGCGCTCGTTGTAACGCGAAATTTCCACCGCATTTTCCGCAGCGCGCTTCATGCCCTCGACTCGCACATTCTGCGCGTGTAGTTTTAGAGACCGCGGAATATAAAAATAAATTCTGCAAAATGCCAGGTAGTGGGAGGTTAACCACGCAAACGAATATAACCAGAATTACACGCCTCGGTACATAAAGTTCTTATTAAGCAGGCTATAAGGGTGGCTTAACAACGAAAGCGTTACACATCCGCGCCTCTTCTCACTGGCCCTTCTGAGGCATCGCGCGGAAGAAAATTCTGCGAGCCGCTTTATTAGAGCGACGATACCGGCGCAACTATCAGAAATATTCGAAACGAATCCAGTCACGTCATCCGTCCATTGTCGAGAATCTAGGTGCCCATACTGGCATCGCAAGGGGGAACCGAGTCCCATCGTCGGTCCTATGACAACAAAACTGAGGGCAAAAATAGGCGCAGCCGGCTCAGCCAGCTTATATACGTCGTATGAACTAAATATGTATTTATTAAGTAAACAACGGTGGGTCTGGGT